CAGGAGTTGGAAACAGTATTCTGAGAAGAGATAGAGGTGCTTAAGGGCTGCTTGACTTGGAACAAGGCTGTCAGAAGGTACAGTGGAAAGGTTTGGAGGGCAGGGAGCAGAGAAATATGGTCGCCAGGGAGAACAGGCATGAGGAAGAGAGTTTGGGAATGCATAGGTAGGAGTTTACATTTTTGGCAGGGATCAAAGTGGAGAATGTGAGGCATTGATGGTGGAAGCTGGTTTCCAAGATTCAAGCAGATGTTTGATGTAGTCTGTATGGTCCAGATGCATATGTGGAAGAAAGGCCTGTTGGTGCTGCAGCCAGGGCAGGAATAGGCCCTGGTCTAAAGGGATCACACGATCAACTGTCAGATGTCCTGCCAGTGTTTCTATTCATAAGACTGGACACACTATTCAAAAAGGAAGTAAGGGTAGTCTGCTGTTCATCATTCTGAGATAATCTATGGTGGTTTCCAATGATCTTTACTTTTTATCTAAGTGCCCATGGGCCATCTCTTTAAAGATCAAAATCAGGAATTTTCCTTTGAATTTGACATTTTGAGCTATACCTGTTCACTATCTGGACAGAACTGAGTCTCTTTATTACCTGTTTCTACATGTATGTTCCAATATCACGTTGTCTTCATTACCTATGATCGTTAAAAACAATTTGTGATTTTCTGTTCCCCCTAGAATTTCCTTCTACATTTCTTTCATATATTAAGAATTTGCATTTTATTTTGCTTATTCAGCTCTTGTCTTTGAATAATCTGATTTTTCTCCAATTTATGATGGTCACTTTAAATCATTTTCTTAAATTTATTCCCAGCTCTTCTACCAACTTGGTGATGTTACTTCTTCATCTGTAATTCGTATCAACACTTTGAAACTCTTTTACATCAGTTTTATCGTTCTAATTATAATGGAACTAGAATTTTCTTGACTTTTCTTTTTTGATGTCTGTTGTATTCAAATAGAATATTACTTGATATTATGGAGTGGCTAGAAAGTGGTGGAACAAGAAATGGATAAAATAAACATAATATAATAAATGAGAAGAGTTTCTCCAGCAAATAAGACAATAATTATCTACTTAATTTTTGGTACTGGTTTAATTATTTTTGGTCCTTGTGTATGAATGGATAGACAGCAGATAGTTCATAGAGTAATATTGCTTTTTTCCCCCTTTCTAAATGTTTAAGCAAGGATTTGACTATCGATACGCAATTTTGACAGAGGAATGATTGGACTCTGGAAAAAATTTGAAAAATTGAATAAAGCCTTATAACTTAGCTTCTGGAATGCCAGGGACATGATATAATCTTGAGAAAAACATTGTGTGCGTAAAGATCATAATTAGATTTGTTAAACCAAGTATCCAAAGGATTGTCTGAAAAATCCTCCTGAACCCCAGGCTGGTAGAAATGAAAAGGTTGTCCAGAGACTGCTGCCCTATGGTTAACAATTTAGGGATTAGGTTCTGGATGTGGTGCCTGTTAGAGCAGTAGAGTAATTACACACTTCCTCTAAGACTGGTATTCAGAGCATTCAGTAGCTCTTAGATTCTTCTTTGTGAAGAAAAATAAACAAAAATAGATTTTACTTTAAAAATATTTAAAACTAAATATAGAAAATATGACTTTTTGTGAAGAAGAATAAACAAAAATAGATTTTAATTTTAAAATATTTAAAATGAAATATTTATAGAAAATATGAATATAAGCACCATTAGCATTCCCAAATTTCATTTCTCATTCTTGTCAACAGATAGACCTGACTTGTTACTCAAACCCCCCCATCATATCGTGGCTGCGTTTGTTTGCTTGGCATTGCTTTGCCTCTTATTGAAGGAATTTTAGGGAGGATGAGGCATGTATCAAGTAGCAACTTCAACAATTGCTATCAAAGCAATAAGAAATTATTATGATTATATTATTCTGGCTTGTGGGATCTTTAATGTTTAAGAATTTTTGTTTTTGAAGATTATGGCATGGAAACCATAGCTAATATATTAAAAGAAAGGCAGCTGGGCGCCAGGGCTCATGCCTGTAATCCCAGCACTTTGGGAGGCCTAGGTGGGCGCATCACCTGAGATTAGGAGTTCATGACCAGCCTGACCAACATGGTGAAACCCCATCTCTACTAAAAATACAAAAACTAGCTGGGCATGGTGGCAGGCACCTGTAATCCCAATTACTCAGGAGAAGGTAAGAGAATCACTTGAAACGAGGAGGCGGAGGCTACAGTGAGCCGAGATCACACCATTGCACTCCAGCCTGGGCAACAAGAGCGAAACTCCATCTCTAAATAAATAAATAAAATAAAACAAAGGCAAAAGTTGGAAGGACATTACCCTTTTTAAAAGGGTAGTATGAAGTCCATTCATTGTGAGTCTGTACTCTCCAGTAAATACAGGTGAAGACATCTAATTCTTACAATGAAAATTAGTAAGAGTATAGCTGTTTCCCCCCCACCCCATGGGACTTTGGTTAAGCACAGCAATGCTTAGAGATTTGTATGCATTTGGATCGAACAATAAAAATTATTTACTCTTAGCTAATCTAGTTAATTATTGCTTTATGTTTGGTGCTAAAGTTGTTGGATTCTGTGGGGGCAGGAAGAGAGGGAGTGAGAGCAAAACCACTAACTGGGCCATGTGAGAGAGCACAGGATGGAGCAAGAGATCTCAAGTAAGTGAAAGGGAGAGGGTGCAGGTGTGATGCAAGGAGGGTGTTGGAAGGAGGGAGAAAGAGGCAAGAGGCAGAGAGTGGGAGACAGGAGACAGAGAAAGAGATGGGAGACAGAGGGAGATAGAAGACAAGAGAGACAGGAGACAGACAGATGGAGAGACCAGAGATAGACAGACAGAGAGATGGGAGACAGACACAGAGAAGAACACACACACATATACACACACAGACACAGACACAGAGAGGGACAGAGAGACAGACACACACACAGAGAAGAACAGTGAGAGAGAGAGAGAGAAAGAGAAGGGAGACACAGACAAACACAGAAGGACACACGTAGAGAGCACAGAGAGAGAGACATACACAGAGATACACAGAAAGAGAGTGTCGAGAGACACAATCAGAAGACAGAAGAAGAGAGAATGGCTCACAGAGAGAGACAAAGACAGATACAGAAATACAGAAAGAGACATGGAGAGACTGAGACACAGAGAGAAAAAGAGAGAGAGACATACAGAGAAATAGAGATGATATAAAAACAAGCGTTAGAACCAGCAGGGAGGGACAGGGAGAGAGAAATGGGTCAGGTCTGTGGAGGTCACGTGTTTGTGATGGTGTGAGGTAACTGCCTGAACTCCCTCTCTGAGTTATCATGGCACAAATGTAAGTTTGTTCAATGCTGGTTACTGAATGGAAAATCATTTGAGAGACAAGTAGCAAATTTATCCCTATGGGTTAAATTTCTTCAGTTTCCACTTAGGCCATGTTTTCAGAACCTGAATTGGGTCCTGAGCCACATTAATCATGACTTAATATTAATATGGAAATGAGTTTACTCTGTTGCAAGTCCCAGTTTCAATCAGTAAGTAATTATGAAAATCAGTCTTAAAGATGCTGTGAAAGGCTGTTGCTTTCCAGGCAATAATTAAACCTCTGAATATCCCTGGGTGGTTGATTTTTTTTTTCTCTTCTTAGTTGTCTTTTTCCTACTTTCTGCAGGTGGGAAAAGATAACAAGTTGCTGACTGAGGGAGTCATTAGTTGCGGGTGGGTAAAGGTCTCATCAAGAGCAGAAGGGAACAAAGCACATGTTTTAAGCTCAAGATGAAGAAAAAGAAAGATCAGCTGCTTTTTCCCTGGCCCAAAGGAAATAATTTTTTAAAACTGTGAATAGAACCTTTAAAACTCACATGTTTTTATTGGAGTAGTTTTGAACTGGTCTCAAAATGTGGAGCTAAATCTCTATTCTCAATGGGAGGCATCCAAACACGTTTGCCAATTTTAGCTTCTGGCCAATAGTAAGCAGGTGCTCAAAAGTAGCAACACATTATTATTATTCATAAAATGCCCTGGGAGCTGTGCATTATGAGAGGAATGGATTCTGAAAGACTCGTAGGCACGCTGCTCCCACGGCACCATGTGCCACTGTCTTCTGCTCCCGCCCTGCGCCACCACCCCTGCCACTTTGAAAGTCCTTAAAGTATGAGGCTTTCAAGAATGAGGTGCAGACAATGGCAATGTTCTTCAACTTTATATCTGCTTACATTGCAGTCTTCCCGACAAGATGTTAGGAAGGAATATCTTTTTGTACACACCATACATAGAAACACGTTGTGGAGGGAAATAAGGTTGCCAGATAAATGCCAGGATGCTCAGTTAAACCGGAATTACAGTAACTAACAACTAAAAAATTATTTGTTGTTTATCTGAAATTCAGATTTGACTGAGCATCTTGTATTTTTATTTGCTAAACTAGCAACCCCGGGAAAGTCACCTCCGCTTGGGGACTGCTGGGCCCTTACAATCTCAGCTGGATAGGAGTTAAACATGTCATCCTCAGCCTGTGACACATTCCTCTGGCTTAGGATCCTTGTACTTTCTTTCGGAAGATAGAGTAGCTGTAACCAGGAATAATTGTAAAAGAGAAGGCAGAGTATTTGGATTCAATATTATCAGAGATTTATACAAAGTTATAGCATAGGCAATTAAAAACTTAAATAAATCAATTGCTTTACTAACTTTGGGAAAAGTCAATGGCTGTTGATCCATCAGTGAGAAATGCGAGTGTGCTTAAATCTAAACATCAAGTTTTGGGGGCTATTTTTGTCATTCCATCATGTACTCAAATGATTTTTAATGCATAGACATACAGTGTATTTAGTGAGGAAATAGAAGTTAATTAATTGAAAAATAATCATTGAGTGAAATATTATACTTTTTTTATTACTTTCGGCAGTATCTTTTAAAGATCCTGCACATAAAAATTTTGAATAATTACTTAGTTGTTATAACTTTGTCTTTTGTTCACTTTTTGAGGTAGAAATTCCTAGGAGATAATAGACCCAGCCCTCCTGTGCTCCCTGAATGGCTTCAGCACACCTTTTTGAGTAAGTGCCTATGTTTATACATTCCGAGTTTAATTTTGAATCTCTAAGACTTAAATTTTCTTAAGTTTCTCTAACTTTTACATTCTTAGACTGACTTTGATCCATGTTGTTGACCTCTGCTTTACCTGTGTGAGTCGTATAGGATATGACCAAGGAGATTTTTAAAAATCGCTTTGGGCCAAGCGTGGTAGCTCACGCCTGTAATCCCAGCACTTTGGGAGGCTGAGGTGGGCATATCACCTGAGGTCACGAGTTTGAGACCAACCTGGTCACATGGTGAAACCCTGTCTTTACTAAAAATACAACAAAATTAGCCAGGTATGGTGGCGGGTGCCTGTAATCCCAGATACTCGGGAGACTGAGGCAGGAGAATTGCTTGAACCTGGGAGGCAGAGTTTGCAGTGAGCTGAGATCACACCATTGCACTCCAGCATGGGCAACAAGAGTGAAACTCTGTCTCAAGAAAAAAAAAAGAAAAAAAGAAAAAAAAATGGCTTTGATTTCTTGCATTGCTTCTGTAAGTTAAGCTTATTATCTATTGTATGTATGAGTACATTGAAACCTTGTTTTATATATCTATGTATGTATATATACATGTGCTTTTTCTTTCTTTCTTTTTTTTTAAATCATACTTCCTTACAGTGGAGAGTTTAAGACAAATGCATGATGACGGGCTTTGATGGCTACCACATCCTGCACTTTTACAAGGCTCCCAAATGCCTTTCCCACACATTGAACTGTCACAGTAATGATCAGTGGCTTAGAATGCTTCCTGAATTCCTGACCAGCTGCCAAAACAATTGCTTAAGTAAATGTTTCCTGATGTCCAATGACCATTAACACCCTCCAAATACAACTGTTGTTGAGCTCAGCTTTTGAAGGTCTACTGTCCATTTTTTTGTGAAATCTGCAAAAAACCAAGCTTGGCTGTTGTGGCCCATTGAACTAGGGAGGGTAAGTAAATCCCTTCAGGAAAGGACAGAGGCACTTGTCTTCCATCTGTTTCTTCACAGACCAGTGTAGGTCTCTGAACTGCCAGATAAATGCCAGGCCACCAACTAAACATGAATTACAGTAAATAACAACTAAAAATTATTTGTTGTTTATCTGAAATTCACATTTGGCTGAGGTTCGTATATTTTTACTTGCTAAACTAGCAACTCAGAGGAGACTGATGGACCCTTACAAGCTCAGCTGGGCAGGAGTTAAATGTGTCATATCCAGGCTGTGACAAGTTCCTTGTACTTAGGATCCTTGGCCCCTCGTGGGAGGGTCATAGCAGGGCCAGCAGCAGGCAGTCTGTGTTCTGAGATGCTCATGCCTGGAACCCAGTGGAACTCTAAGACTGTCAAATACCACATTGTCTGTATAATGAAGTGAGTCCTAATAACCAGCAGGTAGTTAGGCCTGTGTCAGGCCTCCAAGAGTTCCCAAAAACTTTGTCTGTGGCACCAGGGCAATGCCTATTCTAGGGTTGAATGTCTCCTTTGCTAGTGGGCTGATGTTCATGAATACGAGTTTTAAACCCAAAGACCTTAAAGACCTTGTTTGTCCCAAAAGTGAAAAGAGAACTAGCACTTAAGATGAAACTACACCAGACTGCTTATGATTAGAGTTAGACCACTTGTCAGCTTGTTGTCATAGCAGTGTGAGATTTAAAAACTAGGCAGCCAGGGGCTTTGGTTCGGAAGTGTTTTCTGGGGTCACACGGGCCTCACAGAGCTGTTCTGGGCAGCCTGGGGGGGGGGGTCTCATCGTTGCTTCATTGATGCTCTTCTGAATGAGCAGTTTGTCATCATGTTCAGTTTTATTTTTTTCTTCTAAAGAGAACATTTATACCAACTTATTTCCTCTTAGGAAAAGGCTGATTTTTAATGCTGGCCAAGGTCTTCTGGGGAGGGATGGGCTGTGGTGGAACATGATGGTCTGAACTGGGTCATCCTATATTTTCAAGTTATCATCAACATAGCCCCTTGTCTTTTGGTCCCAAGTGTAATCCCCGAATCCTTCTTAACTCAGTGTTCAAAGCAGTCACTGTTCATCAGTTGACATTGGCTTATGAATTGATGCTGCTTTGGCACTTTTGGTTTAGATGGATTATTTTTTCTCTTTCCTTCTTTCAAAATTGTATTCAAAAGCAGTTCCTTTCAGATCTTTGTTGGGTATCTATCCTTTGGCTTTGGCAGAAAAAATGTCTGGACTGGAGGCAGAAGGGGTCGTTTGCCTCTGGGTGTGGGGCATTGTTTTAGTAGGGGTTGGCACAGATGACCTTTGCTTTTATCTTCTAGATCCCCTTGCCCTATCACCAATGGGCATGGGCCCTAAGACTGAGCTAGAGGACCTTTTAGATTTACTTTCAAAGAGAGCTAACCAGTCAATGCTCCTGTGCTTGGACAAGTGTAGTTCCTTCTCATCAATCCCTCTAACTCCCGCTGGTCTTTATGCACCAGGTCTGACTTATTTATGTGGATGTGTTAAGTTGGTGGCTTTATGTAAACTATTGTAAAAGGCTAAACAAATTTCACTTTTGAACTTATGTTTTAGAATCCTCTTTTAAAAATTATCATGCAGGCTGAGCTGTGAGTGACCGAGAATTCAAAGTGTAAGAAATGAAACAAATTAAAAAAATAATCTGCTTCCTGTCTGTGCTAATACTAACCCAGCCCCTCCTGCCGTCAGCTCTCTGCGGCATTTTTAATCCACCTCTTGTTGCTTGAGCCAACCCTTGTCAGTGTTCTAATCTTGCAGGTCAGAGCTGTGTCTTCAGACAGTCAGAATGCATTTACTTAAACAACAGACCCTCTTGTTGTCAGTTCTGCTGCTTTCAATAATTTACCTTGACCTGATGTTCATCAGTGTGTGCCGTTGGCAAAAGAGGCATACCTCCAAATTGGGCTAATTACTCACCTATTCAATGTCAGCACGACTGAAAGAAACCTGGCCATCTCAATGAAGGGATGCTTCTCCTCGAGAGCCAGACTTGAACGTAGCAGGTGACAAGGCGAGCAGGGATGAGCCCAAACCAGGGAACATCTGGAACTCTCAAGGGAACTGTGAATGTTTTTTTCTCCAATAGAGTTCCCTTCTGCATCCCTGTATTGAGGAACTGCACCCACCAAAGGCAGAAAATAGAAAGTAATTTGGGTGCAGTAGGAGGGACATCACAGGTAGCCCTAAAAAAGCCCTAAAAGCCACTGAATTATGAATTTATAGTAACTAGTGAAAATGCTGAGGCTTAAATAATGCTCGGCAAACCATCATGCATAGTTGAGCCTGTTGATCACTGCACAAGGGCATCCAGCCAAGGGCTGAAGGAGGGCCAAGATCCACCTCATGTGCTGCCTAGCAGAAGGCTAAGTTGGCCTGGAGCAAGGGAGGTCCTTTCAAATACTCCCACAGGCACCTCTCTTCAAACCTGGAACACAGCAGGGCTCATCTGCCCAGAGCTGGCACTTTTTTTCATTTGGACAAAGGTGCATGTGGGCTAGTGGGGCCCTGATGCTTACTTACACCCAGGTCCTCAGAGTAGGTCAGACTTACGTGAACTCTGAATACATCTTGTCCGTAAGGCTCAGAGGGACAGGCTCTCAATGAGTTCTCAGAGGCGGGAACTCTGATGGCTTGAGATGATTTCAGGTGGCGCACACTCAACACATGTAACCAGTTACTCTCTTTTTAAAACTCTTTCAGTCCTATTTATTAATTAAGAAGAAAGTAAAGTAGCCCTTTGTTAAAAGGGGTATCAGCAAGTGCTAGAGATGCCTTAGTTAGACATACCAGCCGCAAAGAAAGAGCTGCATGTAGACATGGAGGCTTCTGGGAAATTCTGTAGGCATTTACTCACAGCTTGAATGTTCATTGTATTTCTTTTTAGAATTATCTTCTACCTTTACCAAGGGATAATGTTTTCCTTTTTAAAGAACTAAAGGCACATTGAAAAAATAAATATATGAAATAAATCACTTTTAAAAAGTAGTTGGTAAACAATAATGATGGGCCACCTTCATTGTTCTAATCAAATCCAAGTTACTACTGGCACAGCTAAATTTAGGTAACAGTGAGTTAGTGTAAAGAGACACAGAGTGAGACGGAATCATTGAGAGTGAGGAAGAAAGGCCTTCACAGTAATACAGGTTTCTGACAACTTCTGCTAAGAAGCAAATAAAAGGAAACATTTGCACTGTTTTCAGAGGGATTTGGGCTTTGGATGCACAAGTATGCACGTGTGTCTGTTGTTCGTATACTTGTTCCATGAGCAAAAGCTGAGGGATTGATTTGTGGATTTTGAATTCCTAAGGGTGGGACCAGAAGATTTAGGAGGGAGAGCAGCTATTTAGAAGTCAAGTGATTGGCCCCATATTTTTTCTGCAAGAAAGATTTTTTTTTTTTAGATGGAGTTTCATTTTGTCTCCCTGGTTGGGTATAGTGGTGCAATCTTGGCTCACCGCAACCTTCGCCTCCTGGGTTGAAGCGATTCTCCTGCCTCAGCCTCCCAAGTCACTGGGATTCCAGGTACCCACCACCATACCTGGCTAATTTTTGTATTTTTTTGTAGAGACGGGGTTTTGCCATGTTGGACAGGCTGATCTTGAACTCCTGACCTCAAGTGATCCATCCGCCTTGGCCTCCAAAATCCACCATGCCCAGCCAAGGAAGAAATTTCCAGAAGGGGAACGTATCTATTAATTCATACTTGACTCAGAGTCTTTTTATATGTCCCTCTGTGTCCGTGTCCTTCACTGTCTCTCAGCCTTCCCACACATGAATGTACTCTACGTACACATACACCACCCAGTCCACCTGTGCTTCACATCTGCTGTCTCCCTTGAACTGTTGCCTGCAGAAGTCACACTGTATCATGATAGGCATGACAAGGGGAATTCCAGGCATTGCTTTTGGTCCGCTTTAGGTGAAATAACACATTCAGCAGTTGGCACAAACATGGTGGAGATGAATGCAGTGAAAGCATTGCATGGTATCTAGTGGCAACAAATGTTTACATAAAGAAGAAAAGTGTCCTCTGATATAATCTCAGAAACGGCTGCCACAGGCTTTTGAAACAATTAGTTTAGACTATTTCACAGAGCATTAAGCTTAACAATGTCAGTATGTTCCTAAATGCTGTTCAAGAAAATTTTTGCAATGAGGCCAAAATTTAGGTTGGCAAAAGGGCACTCTCAAATAGGCAACCTCATCTTGTTATTTTAAAACAGCTTTTTTGAGATATAATTGACTTCCAATAAACTGCACATATTTAAAGTATACAATTTGCTAAGTTTGGACATATGTAGTATACATCTGTGAAATTATCACCTCAATCAAGATAATGAACACATTAATCACCCCCAAATGTTTTCTTTTGCACCTTGGAAATCTACCTCCCACCCATCTCTTCCTGCCCTGTTGCCCAGGCAGGGAAGTACTTTCTGCCACTATAATTTGCATTTTCTAGAATTTTATATTAAGAATATAGTGTATACTCATTTTTGTCTGGCTTCTTTCACTCGGGCTCATTTTTGTGAGATTCATACACGTTGTGCATTTATATATATATTTTTGAGATGGAGTCTTGCTCTGTTGCCCAGGCAGGAGTGCAGTGGCAAGATCTCAGCTCACCACAACCTCTGCCTGCCAGGTTCAAGTGATTCTCCTGCCTCAGCCTCCCAAGTAGCTGGGATTACAGATGCATGTTGCCACACCCAGCTAATTTTCAATATTTTTGGTAGAGACAGAGTTTCACTGTGTTGGCCAGGCTGGCCTCAAACTCCTGATCTCAAGTGATCTGCCTGCCTCGACCTCCCAAAGTACTGGGATTACAGGTGTGAGCCTCCATGCCTGGCCATGCATATCATTATTTTTTACTGAAGTTTTATAATTTCAAGTTTTTTACTTTTACGTCTATGATCCATTTTGAGTTACTGTTTGTCTTTTAACAGTCCATTTTATCTTTATGCCACAATCTGTTTATCCATTTGCCTGTTGATGGACATTTGGGTTGGCTTCAGCTTTGAGCTATTACAAATAAAGCTAGTATGAACATTTGTGTACAGATCTTTGTACAGATATATATTTTCTTTTCTGTTGGATAAACAGCTAGGAGTGCAATGGCTAGAACATTTGGTAGTTGTGTAGACAATGTTTTTCAAAGAGTGATACCATTTTATGTTCCAAAAGCAATATATTTAGAGTTCTATTCCTCTGCATCCTCACCAACACTGGTATGTTAGTTATTTTATCTTGTGGGTTTAAGAGAGAAAATGGCTAATATACTGTGTGTTGGTGAGGATGCATCTCCAAACTGAGTAATGATGTTGAGCATTCTTTATGTATGTGCTATTTACCATTTGTATACCATTTTCTCTGGTAAGGTGTCTGCGCATTTAAAAATTTGTGTTGTTTTCTCATTGTTTGTTTTGAGCATTCTTACATATTCTATATGGGAATCCTCTATTAGATATATACTTTGCCAATCTTTTATTATAATCTGTGACTTGTCTTTTTTATTCCCTTAACAATGTCTTTCAAAGAACTAAAGGATGATTGATGAAATTTAATTTGTCAGAATTTTTACTGAATCTTGCTTTCAGTGTTATATGTAAGAAATCTGTGCCTAACCCAAAGTCATAAAGATTTTCTCCTATACTTTCTTCCGGAAGTTTTATAATTTTAAGTTTTACTTCTTTGTCTGTGATCCATTTTGAGTTATTGTTTTTCTTTTAAAATGTAATTTAAAAATGTATAATTGACTCATAATTGCACATATTTTGGGGGTACAATGTGACATTTCAATACATGTATATATAGTGTAAAGCTCAAATTGGGATAATTATTGTATCCATAACTTTCAACACTTACTATTCTTCTGAATGGTTCAACTTTTTGCAAATATATATCCAGTTGCTCCAGTACTTGCTGAAAAGTCTATCTTTTTCTCCTTTGAATGGCCACTGCACATTTGTCAAGAATCAGTCATTCATATATTTGTCAATATGTGTCTATTTCTGTCCTATTCTGTTCCATGGATCAATGTGCCGCCCTTGTCTTGATTACTGCACCTTTGTGATAAATCTTGAAATCAAGTACTTGACTATTCTGGGTCCTTTTGCATTTTGATATGGATTTTGGAATAAGAATCAGCCTGTTACTTTCTACAAAGAAAAGCTTGCTGGGAATTTGATTGCATGGTGTAGATAATAACGAAGGGAAGATTGCAGTTTTAATATACTAATATGTGTCTTCCAATCCATGAACAATGTAGTAACAGGATTTATTTAAGTTTTCTTACTGGCTAGCCATGTGCGGAAAGCAGAAACTGGACCCCTTCCTAACACCTTACATTAAAATTAACTCCAGATGGATTAAAGAGTTAAACATAAGACTTGGCACCATAAAAACCCTAGAAGAAAATCTAGGTAAAACCATTCAGGACATAGGAGTAGGCAAGGACTTCATGACCAAAACACCAAAAGCATTGGCAACACAAGCCAAAATAGACAAATGGGACCTAATAAAACTCCACAGCTTCTGCACAGCAAAAGAAATAGTCATTAGAGTGAATCGGCAACCAACAGAATGGGAAAAAAGTTTTGCAGTTTACCCATCTGACAAAGGGCTGATATCCAGAATCTACAAAGAACTCAAACAGATTTACAAGAAAAAAACAAACAAGCCCATTCAAAAATGGGCAAAGGATATGAACAGACACTTTACAAAAGAAGACATACATAAGGCCAACAAACATATGAAAAAATGCTCATCATCACTGGTCATTAGAGAAATGCAAATCAAAACTACATTGATATACCATCTCACTCCAGTTAGAATGGCAATCATTAAAATATCTGGAGACAATAGATGCTGGAGAGGATGTGGAGAGATAGGAACACTTTTACACTGCTGGTGGGAGTGTAAATTAGTTCAACCATTGTGGAAGACAGTGTGGCGATTTCTCAAGGGCCTAGAAATAGAAATTCCATTTGACCCAGCAATCCCATTACTGGGTATATATCCAAAGGACTATAAATCATTCTATAAGGACACATGCACACGAATGTTCATTGCAGCACTGTTTACAATAGCAAAGACCTGGAATCAACCCAAATGCCCATCGATAATAGACTGGACAGGGAAAATGTGGCACATATACACCATAGAATATTATGCAGCAATCAAAAATGATGAGTTCGTGTCCTTTGTAGGGACATGGATGAATCTGGAGAACATCATTCTCAGCAAACTGACACAAGAACAGAAAATGAAATACCACATGTTCTCACTCATAGGTGGGTGTTGAACAATGAGAACATGTGGACACAGGGAGGGGAGCACTACACACTGGGGTCTATTGGGGGGAATAGGGGAGGGACAGTCAGGGAGGGAGTTGGGGAGGGATAGCATGGGGAGAAATGCCAGATGTGGGTGAAGGGGAGGAAGGCAGCAAATCACACTGCCACATGTGCACCTATGCAACTATCTTACATGTTCTTCACATGTACCCCAAAACCTAAAATGCAATAAAAAATAAAATAAAATAAGTTTTCTTTACTCTGTTTCAGCAGTGTTGCATAGTGAATAATTCTTTCACATTATTGTCAGATTTACCCTTCAGTGTTTCTATTTTTGGTGTTTTGTTAAACTTGTTTTTCATTCTTTTATTTTAAAATAATACTGAGGTAGTATTTTTGATAAATAGTGATATTGTGCAGGCCAATTCTTTTTTTTTTTTTGAGACTCAGCTCACTGCAACCTCTGCTGCCCGGATTCAAGCAATTCTCCTACCTCGGCCTCCCAAGAAGCTGAGATTACAGGTGCCTGCCACTGTGCTCAGCTAATTTTTGGAGTTTTTAGTAGAGAAGGGGTTTCACCATATTGGCTAGGCTGATCTTGACCCTGACCTCGTGATCTGCCTGCCTTGGCCTCCCAAAGTGCTGGGATTACAGGCATGAGCCACTGTGCCTGGCCTATTTTTGGAGGTATTTATAAATAATAATGGCTTAAAAAATTTTAATTCCAGATTGTTGCTGGTATGTAGAAATACATTTGATTTTTGTGTATTTATCTTACTGTATCCTACAGACTTACTAAAGCCACTTAGTGGTACTAGTAGCCTTTTTGAGGATTCCATCAGGTTTTCTATGTCGATTATCATGGCATGCTCCAATAAAGTTAGTTTTACTTCTGTCTGGATGCCTTTTGTTTCTTTGGCTAGACTTACTGCACTGGTTAGATCCTCCTGTGCAATACTGAACTGAGTGGTGAGAGCAGACATCCTTGTTTCTCCTCATAAGGGAAAGCATACAATCTTTCACTATTAAATAATATATTAACTGTAGATTTTTCATACTCTATTAGGTCCCAAAATCCCATTCTGTTTGTAGTTTGCTGAGAGTTTTTATTGGGAAGGGATGTTGATTTTGTTATTGTTGTGTATCTCTTCATCTGACATTTACTGGGATGAAGAAGATTGGGAGGGGAGAAATAGATGTTCAGTTTTGACATGGTGAATTTGAGATTTCTATAAAGTGTCAAGGAGGCAATTGGACACACACATCCGAAGTTCAGGGGAGAAATCTGCCCTAAAAATATAAATTTGAGCATCATCAGCATATAGAAGGCATTTAAAGTTTAGGCCTGGATGAGACCACATAAGCAGAGAAAGAGAATGGGAGATGACTAAAGATTGGGGTGGTCCAACATTTAAAGGTCAGAAAGATGAGCAAGAGCCATTTAAGGGAACCAAGAAGAAATGGCCAAACAGGTGTGATGAGATCCAAGATAGTGATATCCTAGGAGCTGAAAGAAGAAAGTGTTTCAAGAAAGAGGATGTAATATACTATGTTCGTTGCTGCTCAAAGTTGAGGAGAATAAGGTCTTAGAACTTTGGGATTTGGCACTGTGGAAGACATTGGGACCTTGACAAGGGCAGTCTGGTTGAAGTGGTAAGAATGAAAGTCTGATTGGAGTGGATTAAGAGAGAATGGAGGAGAGGAAGTGGCAACAGTGAGCATAGGCAGCCATCGAGGTTGTGTTTTAAAGGGGAACACAGAAATTGGTTGTAAGCAGATGCATGTCTGACTTACTTAGGTGTCTTAGAGGAGATGTGAAAAAAGTTCCCTGTAGTTACCTCTGAAAGACAGAGTGGACCTTGGTATGGAGAAGATAGAGGAAAATTGTACTTTGCCTTTTATAACTTTATATACTGTTTGATTTTTTCTTCCCAATCAAGTTGCAGTGCCCTTTTTGAGATGCAACCTTCACAAGGCTGAATATGTGAAAGTACATATGAAGATAGAATGTGATATACATAGCATGTTAGGTTAAACAAACAAAAAACTATGCAGAGAAAAGACAGGAAGAAATGCATAAAGCCTTAAAAATAATATTATATGGTAGAAATAGAATGAACTTTTGAATCTGGAAGTACTTGGGACTAACATCTGTCTCCCATACATATCACTTAATTTCTCTTACCCTTGGTTTCCTTTTTTGTAATATGTATATAAAAATACTACCATCATTAATGGTTAGTATGAGGTTTAAATAGAATGACTTAATGTTAAGTGCCTGGAAATTAGTAGGTTCTTGGGCCATTATATTATTTCCTCAAACTTTCTATATTTTCCAATGTTTTAAAAAGGACAAAAATATTCATACATTACTAGTGTAATTAATTATTGTAAACAAGTTGGTACAACTGTTGCTGAAATGTTAGCAGTGTTTGGTTCTAGGTGATGGGAATATAACTGATGGTTATTTTCCATTTAGTATAGTATCTATGTTTATAGAACCAATAAGCCAAAATAAACAAAGAGTTCTTTTAAATAGAAACACCAGGTGATATGTATTTGTTCTGCCCCATTTACTGACTTGTTGAACAGGAGAAGAAGGCAGTTAGAAGGTATAGGAGGAGAGGAATGAAAGTTTATATGACACCCACCATCAAAAAATCAGGTGGAGAAAATGGAACACATCAAAAAAACAAATTAATGAAAATGTGATTTTATTTATAAATCTCCTTTAAGGTTTCATCTGCTCCCTAAGTTGTACCTCAGCATAGACCTAAAGATTTATAAGGAGGTTGGCTTGTAAAGATAGTCTTAGTTTCTCTCTTGTCTTTGTGTCATTATGCAGAGTTCCCTTTCACTTTCAGAAGTGTCCTAGTTTGGGTGTTGAAGTATATGATCCTCCTACTTAAGGGATGTAGAACCCTTAAAAATTTTCACAGGACACAATAATGCTCTTGGATGGTTTTGCTCAAAGATTTATGTGTTATGATGGGGAGTAGGATGGAGGGCCAATGAGATTAAAAGGATATCAAGGTCAACTTTTAGATAGAAAAGGATATCAAGGTCAGCTTTTAGGTGAAAAAGGATATCAAGGTCAGCTTTTAGATGTAAAAGAAAGATACATAGCATTTGGGATGGGAAGAGACTCTACTACAAAGCTTTCTGTCCTGGCTAACTGTCTAGTATAAGGACAGGCTCTTCATATAGACCGGGGATAATGATATTACATGAAATATGTTTCAATCTGTAAGGCACTATTCAAATGTAAAGTGCTTTCATGTGTATATGCAATTCTATATGAGTCTCACTATATTCTCTAGCGGGTTTCAAAGAACAACTATAGAAAATGCTGGTAATTGATCTAGGAGTAAAACCCAGATTTCATGCTGTTTCCATTGGAACACTCATCTGGTGCCTTCTCCACACTGACTGGATAGGGCTTTTTCTGACTACCAGAAAAACTGAGTTCAGTAGGCTTCCTGGAGTGAGCTCCATGCTTACTTTTTAGGAGATGAAATTATCTTCACTACATAAAATGCCTTGTAAGGTATATACAAGAAGGTATAGAGTTTTGGACTGAAAATGCTTGTCTGTTTCTTAGGCAGAATAGTAGGTGGTTGACAACTGTTAGATTTGGGTTTGTGCCATTTATCTTGACATGGGGACATTCCATTTCTTCCTCTTTCCCCTTGAAAGCTCAATAAAGCAAAGGGAAGGGAAGCTGTGGATAGAACTTCAAGGGCTTGACCTGATACCAGTTAAGGCTCTTGTTTAGTACTTTATTCACATTCCTGCCTCTAAAATAAGGATTAAGGTATGGAATTTAAGGACTGAAAAAAAAAATAGGAGCTTATAGCTAATCACTCTTTCAACTCTTTTTCTGAGAACACAACCTTTGGAGAAAAGTCTTATCATTATAAGCAATGCTTTTATCTCAATGCCAAGTGATACTTCATTTTGATCTAGGAATCCAGGATATACATTTCTTTTGGAAGAGTGTTAGCATTTTGTGCTGCTGAATTAAATCACTCATGATAAAGGAAACCCCCAGTGCAATTCTTCCCTGCTGTCCTAAAACCGTATCAAGACCCCCCATGTCTGAGAGAAGGAAATTGTACCTTAAGGCTTAACACAGAAGTCATAAAAACTGGTTTCCATTAGAGCTGGGCTGTCAGCAGCCTCCAAATTAAAACTGTAGGGAATGTTGAAATTTAAAGTTCATTTCTAACATGAAGGTTTTTCACACACTACTGTTCTAAGGGCTAATCTTTAGTGATAGATGCAGAGACAGGAGGTTCAAGTGTTCTTAGGAAAACCCAAGAGTTCTTCCATCCTAAGCCTTTTTGGCTTTAATTTTAACATCAGCCAGTCATTGCCAAGACTATGTTTGAAAGGACTAATTTCAGCTATTTCAAAGAGTCTTGTTTTGTATAATGTTCTCAGAGAATCATGTAACATTCTATTCTGTAATATGTTTTAGATATACCATAATGACTACAGATATCAGTGATCCTAATTTTTCCCCTAGTTAATGTTAACATGGACTTGTGGAAAGAAAGCTCATAAAGCTGAGAGGCAATCCTCACATAGTGATTTAAATTATTATTATTATTTTAGAAGGAGTCTCTCTCTCTTGCCCAGGCTGGAGTGCAGTGGCAAGATCTCAGCTCACTGCAACCTCTCCCTCTGGATTCAATTGATTCTCCTGCCTCAGCCTCCCAAATAGCTGGGATTATAGGTACTCACTACCACACCTGGCTAATTTTTGTATTTTTAGTAGAGATGTGGTTTCACTTTGTTGGCCAGGCTGGTCTTGAACTCCTGACCTCAAGTGATCCTCTCACTTGGTCTCCCAAAGTGGTGGGATTATAGGTGTGAGCCACTATGCCCAGCCTATAGTGCTTTAAATTAAATATTACCACTAATTAGATACATTGTTTAAACTTTTGATGTTTCAATTTCCACATCTGGAAATTCTAAGAAGTTGTTTACCTTATTGGGATGTCTTTGTGGTCAAATGGATGATTAGATGTCAGATCCTT